TCAGGGGGGTTTATAGGGGACACCTCCTTCTTTCAGGGGGGTCTCATAGGGGACTCCTTCTTTCAGGGGGGGCTCATAGGGGACTCCTTCTTTCAGGGGGGGCTCATAGGGGACTCCTCCTTCTTTCCGGGGGACTCAGAGCAGGCTCCCCTTCTTCTGGGCTACAAAACAGATCTTCTGATACCCGGATTGATTAATCTGTTCTCTGGGAGGTCATACGTTTCCATATCTGGTCTGTAGCTCTGAAAAAGGGGGAGGTCCCTGAGCCCCTGAAACGCGTAGGTCATTCTGTGTTGCCTTTTTGTGAACCAATACCAATAATAAAAAGCTTTCGGATTCTCAGACTGGGAATTCATGAAATCTGGAGCAGACAGAGTCTGGAGCAGTCGCCCATAGCAACCAATCAGCTTCTCTTTTCAGGTTGTTCAGTTGAGCTTTGAAGATAAGGAGTCCCTGACCCATGGACAAGCATGCATCCAGTAAAGGGCAGAACGCCCACATCAATGACTGAAAACACCGACATAATCTTTGGATCTGTGGCACCACCGGAGCAGGTCCAGGGTCCTTTTTTTTGTCAACACGCAGGGCTCCAGTTCAGTGGGGGGGTCCCCTGTGGAGGGTCTTTGTGGGGCTCCAAGGCTGTTCAGTGTCTCCAGGTACCCGGTGCTGGTCCTCATGTCGGGAAAATCTGTGGGTGTGCCATGAGGAGCGCTTCTAGTGATGAGTCATATTTGATTCCAGACTTTCTTTGTAAGTGGTAAAACCAATACAACTGACGCATTTCGGGGCATTAGGACTCCTCCTTCTTCGGGGGTTTAACGGTGACATATTGGCCTTGGAACCGCTTAGAAGACTTGGCCCCAGCCATGGTCTCTGCAATAGTCTCTTGAATTATTCCATCGTGGCAACACCCGATATTCGGACTACAAGCCCTGAAGAAGGAGGAGGTCTGAACTCCCGAAACTCGTCAGAGGCATTCCTAGAATGCTCCTCATTGCACACATTAGAAAACACTGTAGCCAAAAAGAGAACCCCCCTCCCCCATACTTTCTGTGGTCCATGGTTGGTTTTCTGGAAGAGATGTGTCTTCTATAGGTGACCCCCACTTCTTCAATAGGTGACCCCCCACTTCTTCTATAGGTGACCCCCCCACTTCCTCTATAGGTGACCCCCCACGTCCCCTATGGGTGGCCCCCACATCTTCTATAGGTGACCCCCCACGTCTTCTATGGGTGACCCCCAGGCTCCTGTAAACGCAGCAGAAAAAAAAACCATCTGAAAGCGAGCGGCGTCTTTTAGCAAACAAGGCGGATTTTCGTGGAAGCATCGCGGGTGAATGTCCTCAGCCCCCCGGATTCACGGGAAGCCAAAGAAGACCGCAGATCATGTGACTCGGAAGGGTTGTCGATGTGGCGGGTGTAAGAAGGATAAAAACGGGGTGACGGGCTCCTGGGGGTGAAGGGGTTAGTTGTTGGGCGTGGCCTCGTCTGTGACCCGTTACAGTTTTCGGTCGAATCCGTGTCGCCTCCGGGGTAGTCCGTTCCTCCAGCTGCGGAAGAAAGGAAATAGGATGTAAAGGAACGCTCCACTTCCTGTGACACCACCACCACCCCACCCTGTGCATAGGCAGCCCAGTGTGAGCTCAGCGTTGTCACATGACGGGTGTCAGGATTGGAGGAAAAGTGCGGGGAGAGAAAGTATCGGGAGGAGGAGGAGTCTGATCGAGAGAACCTGAACCACTGAAAGGAGGGAGGAAAGGAGGGAGAGGGGAGGAAAGGAAGGAAGGAATATTGGAAGGAGGAGAGGAAAAGGGAAGGAAAAGAAAAAGGGAAGAGGAGGGAAGTAGAGGATAGGAAGGAAGGAGGGAGGAAAGAGAAGTAGGAAGGGAGGAAGGAAGGAGAGAATGGAAGGAGGAACGAAGGAAGGAAGGGGGGAATGGAAGGAGGAAGGTAAGAAGGAAGAGGAAGAATAAAGGAATGAAGAAAGAAAAAAAAAAGAAAGGAAAAGGCAAAGGGAAAAGAAAGTGGAGGGTAGGAAGGAAGGAAGAAAAGAAGGAAAAGGAAAGAAAAAAAGAAGGGGAAAGGGGGAGGAAAGAAGTGGAGGGTAGGAAGGATGGATGGAAGAAGGGAAGGAAGGAAAAAAAGGAAAGGAAGAGGAAATGAAGGAAAAATAAAGGGAAAGGGAGAGGAAGGAAGGAGAGATTGGAGGGCAGAAGGTAGCAAGGCAGGGGGGGGGGGGTGAAGGTATGAAGAAAGGAAGGAAAGAGAGGGAACGGAAAAGGAAAGGTAAATAAAAATGGAATGGGGAAGGAAGGAAGTAGAGGGAAGGAAGGAAGATAGGAAGCAGGGAATTAAAGGGAAGGGAAATGGAAAAGGTAAAGGAAAGGAAAAGGGGAAGAAAGGAAGTGAGGGGTAAGAAGGGAGAGAATGGAGGGAGGAAGGTAGGAAGGAATGGGGGAATGGAGGAAGGAAGGAGGGAAAGGAAAAGAAAAAGGAGAGAATTGATAAAGAAAAGGATAAGGAAGAGAAAGGAAGAGGGGAGGAAGGAAATGGACGGTAGGGAGGGAGGAAAGAGGGAGGGAAGGGGGAAAGAAGGAGAGAATGGAGGGAGGAAGGTAGGAAGGAAGGGGGAGAATGAAGGGATGAAGAAAGGAAGGAAGGGGGAAGGAAGGAAAAGGAAAGGTTAAGGCAAAGAAAAATGGAAAGGGGAAGGAAGGAAGTGGAGGGAAGGAAACAGGAAAGAAGGAAGTAAGGAAGGAGGGAATGAAAGGGAAGAGAAAGAAAAGGGAAAATGTAAAGGAAAGGAAAAGGGGAAGGAAGTGAAGGGTAGGAAGGGAGAGAATAGGGGGAGGAAGATAGGAAGGAATAGGGGAATGAAAGAAGGAAGGAGGGAAAGAAAGGAAAGGAGAGAATGGATAAAGGAAAGGAAAAGGGGAAGGAAGGAAAAAGATTCCAATATACTATTTGTTGATGACAGAGAACAATGGCTAAAGCGGCCCACACACCAGCAGAATCTCCTGATTTCTTTCCCTCGATGGTATCAGACTTTTTGGGGGTGAAATTGATGATCGGTTTCCATGGGAGTGACTATAAAACTCAGAGGAGCGGGATGGAGAATTCCCAATCTAATGGTATCCTATCAGTGACTGATTTCTGTTTCCTTCCTCTCCCTTTTCCTTTCATTTCCTTTTCTTTCCTTCCCTTCTTCCATCCATCCCTCCTCCCTTCCTCCATTTCCTACTTCCTTCCTCCATTCATTTCCTAAATCAAATGTTAATAATGATTTTCTATCTTTTCCCCTGTCGGAGCTCCTCGTGTGTGACGACGAATGATATCAGCGTATTGTTGTCCGTATTGTAAGATGAATAAAGATACAATATACAAATGTTCCTAGGAGATTTCCGGCGCCCCATTCTACAAGTCTCCGATGACCATGGAATGTTCTGATGGGCGTGTTCTTCCTACGAACGTTCATACAGAATTCTACCAGCGCCCGCGGCCGGCCATCTTTAGTGATCCCGGCCCCTTTGCCACTCACCTGGGTGCCCTGAGTCTTTGCGGTTCAGCTATTCCTGCGCTTGCACCCCCAGACAGTTGTCTTTAGTCTCCGTTGTTATTGCTAAGTAGTCCGATCTGCTCGAGATACAAAAAAAAATACAACACATGTAAAAGGTTACACCGAATTTAAAGGAGACCTTCCAGTTCCTGCGCCCTTCCAGCTCAAGGTGAAATCTGCACACAAGTGTATTATAGGCAAAGGCTTTTAGGGTGCAATATTGTGTTTCGTCCACTAGATGGCGGCAGATACAACGTGATAGCAGGTACACTATATGCGGTTGGCGCGTTGATCCCTACAGCAGCCATAGTGCATAGGCAGGGCAGCCATCAGAAATTTTAGGGCCCCTTACACGGCTTTCGGCCGGGCCCCCATCCCCCCCCGCGCCGCTGGACGCAGGGCTTAGTGACGCGCTGGACGCAGGGCTCAGTGACGCGCTGGACACAGGACCCACCTGAAAGTGACCCTGCAGAGCCCACCATAGATGCTGCACAGCCCATCTGAGACTGTCTATGGTGGGCTCTGAAGGGGTCTCAGGTGGGCTGGTCAGGGCTGCATCCCTCCCCTCCCTCCTTTCCTTCCTTCCTCGCTCCTCTTACCTGCACACGTGGCCTCGTCTGCCGCCGGACGTCACTTCTGGCCAGTCCGACATCAGACGAGCAGCGTCGCTGATGGGGCCCTAGCTTGTCTCGAAGCCGCTGGAGCGGCAATGCCGGGGCCCTGCGCTGCCAGGGCCAGGCCTAGACCTCCTCGCCCTTCATCGTCGGCCGATAGTCATGTAAGGGACCCCAGGCTGCCCGGGCCCCTTACATGAGTATCTGCCTTACCCCCCCTGATGGCTGCCCTGTACATACGACTGGGTAGGGGGAGGAATAGGCAGTGCAGGCCAGTGGGCACTACAGCAAAATAGTGAGCCTACATAGAATTGAACGTATACTGTACATAGCGGAAGGCTCGGCTGTAATATAGTGCAATGGATATGTGTAGGGATAGGCTAGGCTGCCTGTGCCGGGCCCCTTCTGGAAATGCTAGCTGCCTGGCTGTCTCTGGCTGCCACCAGCATTCAAAGGAGGAGGTCAGCAGTGTCTTCGGATGCATTTCCTTAAAGCTGAACTCCAGACCACTTAACGCGGCTCTGTACTCCTCGACGCATGAGATCTTTTCAAATGAAATGAGGGGGGAAAGTACCTGAATCTGACCTTTGTTTCGGCCTCTTGCAATCCCTGTACAGCAGAGCTCATACTGAAAGAGGGAGAAACAGCAGTTAGTTTTAATCCTGCTGCGTGCACGTGTTCACAAGTGGACATGCGGATGAGAGGAGAGAGCAGGGCGACAGAGAGATGAGAGAGCCTGCTGTTTTTTTTTTTCCCTTTTTCGCCGTCCATAATCACAAGACCCAACCGGAAAACAAAATCAGGTCTCCTTCCCCTGCCAGAGAGGGCTGTGCTGTGCGGCGGAGCTGCGTAAAATCTCGCGACCGGTTGGACGGCGATGCAAATGAATGAATTGCACCCGCGAAGCCCCCGGAGTTCAGCTTTAATGACGGCGTTTTCTGACCGGCCTTAAAGGGGTACTCACGCGTTTTCCAGCACCGTCTCCTCCCCGGCAGCGGCGATCTTGCGGTAACAGTAGATCATCTCGACCACGAGCCATATGGTCAGCACCACGATGAGGACGTACATCATGATCTCCGACACGATGGAGGCCGTGTCTCTGTTTGCTGGGCGGGAAGAGAAGAGAAAAAAAAAGTCAAAATTGTTAAAATAAAACAGAGCCGGGGTCCCCCCTAAAATCCGTAACCAGACCTTTGACCCGAGCAGCAGTCTGGCAGAGCAGGAAAGGGGGGGCAAGCATGGCCTCCCCCCTACTGCACCATAACAGGTCACATGCCCTCAATATGGGGCGGGTGCTGTGCAAGGGGGGGGACCCCCTGGAAAAGCACCTTGTCCCCATGTAGATGAGGACAAGGGTCTCCACAAACACAGGGCCAGGGTTGCGGGGGTCCGTGCGTAGGGGGGCTTATAGGAATCCAGACCCAGTCCCCTCCCCCTGTGAATGAGTAAGCGACTCGCCGAAAGAAAAAGCCCCCGCCGGCACATCCGATCCCAACTAACTCTCACCGCCACATGACACATCTGACCCGAATGTCAACAAAGGGGCGGAGCGAGTCGTGACATCACGGGACGTGTTCCGCCCATTTGATTACATTCCGTACATACAGCTCTCTGTCCCCTAACAGAATGTCAGCAAAGGGGCGGAGCGAGTCGTGACATCACGGGACGTGTTCCGCCCATTTGATTACATTCCATACATACAGCTCTCTGTCCCCTAACGGAATGTCAAAGGGGCGGAGCGAGTCGTGACATTACGGGACGTGTTCCGCCCATTTGATGACATTCCGTACATACAGCTCTTTGTCCCCTAATGGAATGTCAACAAAGGGGCGGAGCGAGTCGTGACGTCATGGGACCTGTTCCGCCCATTTGTTTACATTCTGTGACAGCTCTCTGTCCCCTAACGGAATGTCAACAAAGGGGCGGAGCAAGTCGTGACATTACGGGACGTGTTTCGGCCCTTTGATTACATTCTGTGACAGCTCTCTGTCAAATAACGGAATGTCAACAAAGGGGCGGAGCGAGTCGTGACGTCATGGGACCTGTTCCGCCCATTTGTTTACATTCTGTGACAGCTCTCTGTCCCCTAACGGAATGTCAACAAAGGGGCGGAGCGAGTCGTGACGTCATGGGACCTGTTCCGCCCATTTGTTTACATTCTGTGACAGCTCTCTGTCCCCTAACGGAATGTCAACAAAGGGGCGGAGCGAGTCGTGACATTACGGGACGTGTTCCGGCCATTTGATTACATTCTGTGACAGCTCTCTGTCCCCTAACGGAATGTCAACAAAGGGGCGGAGCGAGTCGTGACATTACGGGACGTGTTCCGGCCATTTCATTACATTCTGTACATACAGGTTTCTGTCCCCTAACGAAATGTCAACAAAATGGCCGGAACAGGTCTTTGTTGACATTCGGGTCAGAGCTGAGAGTCCGTCATGGCGTCGGGTATTTTTTCACATTCATGGTGATTGATGAGGATCTACAGCGCTGGATTTTTTCAATAATGTAATTGTCAAAAACGGTCTTTTTTTTTTTCAAATAAAGGATTTTGTTTACTGCGTGGTGTGCTTATTTACTATTTTACTGTATTTGGTGAACGAGTAGGGGTAACAACTATTCACATGGGGGGGACGGGAAGGGACCTTAAAAAAAGGGGGCACCCAGATTCCTATAAGCCCCCCCCCGCCCGCAGACCCCCACAATCACCAGGCCAGGTCTGTGGGGAAGAGGCCCTTGTCCTCATCGCCATGGAGACAAGGTGCTTTCCCCATGGCAAAGCACCTTCCCCATGTCGTGGGCATGTGACCTGGCATGGTGCAGGAAGGGGGACACACACTCCCCCCTCCCCCGCCCCCCTTTCTTGCTCTTCTGGGCTGCTGCACAGATCAAGGGGTTGGTAAAGGATTTAAGGGGGGACCCCACGCTTTGTTTTTTTGGC